GTTTACAATTTTCAGTTGCACATCTCCCATCTCTTATTTCAACAAGAGCTGCCTTATTCTCCTCCCCCACCACCACTATTAGTTTTTCCTTAAGAAAATAATAATAATAAAAAACCAGACCATTTAGAGCTTTCCATCGGCATCCAGTAGATTTCCTTTTCCATCAGAAGGTAGGTTTATTTATTTATAAGATGCCTTAGCCACAGGCCGAACAAGAGAGAGAAAAGCAATAATCAAAAATCTGTCAAAACATATTGGCACGTATATATATAACAATATGTTTCTTGCTGTAAAATGTAGTGTGGGAATTATGCAGAATAATGGTACAGTATTTTTTTTACTCCAAATCCCATAATCCCCTAGGCCATAGAAGTTAGTTGATTCTTGAAGTTGTAGTTCAAAAAAAAAATAAGATTGCCAAATGCCGGAGCAATATTGCATAAAATATGTCATATAGTGTAGTTTATTTTAGTCATATTTCCTCCGGTTGCAATGTTATCCGTGTATTGTTCTGAGTTCACCCTGTCAAAATGCAAAGCATTTCAGAGTGGCCTTGAAGAGGCCATTCAGTCCCGTTAACTTTACAAAAGGCCTGCTCCTGGTGCTGATGGAAAGCAGCTAGAACACATTCGTTGATCATACTCCTTTAGGGACTCCCTCTCGATTTTTCCTTACAAGATTATCTCAAGGAGTGCTTCTGTTTTTTTGTTTTTTTTTTAAAGGACTGCCATTCACTGGCAGGAAGTGTTTTCACGGGGAAAAAAGGAAGAATTTGTCAGAGGAGAAAATCTGTACATCTGTCTGCTTTTGCTGTCGGTTTCTGTTTTCCTGCTGGGTGCACAAACTGGTGTTTTCTTCCAGGCGGCTGCCTCGGGTGGCGCGGTGGCCGAAAGGCTGGAGACGCAACCGGCGCGTCCCGGCTCTCCTTAGGGAGGCTGTGTCAGAGCCACTGGCCATCTCGCCTCCCTTGATCCATCAAACCTGGGAAACCCCCCCCCCCCGGGAGAAACAGGAGAACCAAGACAAGTGGCTGCAGAAAAGGCCTCGCTTGTGCTTTTATTTGTTGTAAGAAGTCATCGGCTACCCTTGGTTGACGTTCTCGTTTTGCAGAAAGGAAGGGACCGTTTTGTCTCACTTGCGAAAAGTCATGCGCTTAATGACTGAAGAAGACTATGGAGCAAAAAAACTGCTGAGTAGCTCAGGGGTTGCGGTCTCTGTCTGTGGAGCCAGAGGTTGGGAGTTCGATTCCTCCACTGGGCCTCCTTGACAAGGGCTGGACATGATGATCTCACAGGGTCCAGCTCTGCACTTCTAAACACACACTGTAGCCAACAGAGGGACTGAGGAATGAGGAGTGTCTAGGTGTGTTTGCCTCAGTCAATGGGAATAGCAAAAATGTTGTGCTTATACACAACACGAAGAGCTTTTCCCCCAACATAAACACAGTGCTGAAATCCTGTCGGAGGAATGAGGAGTGTCTAGGTGTGTTTGCATCAGTCAATGGGAATAGCAAGAATGTTGTGCTTATACACAACACAAAGTGCTTTTCCCCCCAACATAAGCACAGTGCTGAAATCCTGTCATGCGGTTAGGCAAAAGGGGTAACTTTGAGAAGTGAATTTCCATGAGTTGATAAACCTACGTTGACAATTACCTGTTGCTCACTGAGTCACGCAACTCACCGTGCAACAAGTAATGTCTACAAAGATTTCTTAACCACCCAGAGCGGCCTTCAGCTAGATGGGTGGTCAATCAATCAATCAATCAATCAATCAATCAATCAATCAATCAATCAATCAATCAAGGGTTCAGCACCTTGGATAGATCCTGTAAAATCTGGATTAAAAGCAGGAGCCCACTCATCAGCTGCCGATGCCTTTTTATCATCTGCTTCACCCTCTCCTGAAGGCCTTATATAGCTTGTCAACATCCTAGATCTCAAGATTTCTTTGTCCACAACTAATCACTCATAAACCGGCTGTGATCTCACGCCCTTAGCCCCTGGTTCTCCCCAAGCTCATGGAAACAAAACCTAGCATATCCTGCATTCTTTCCACCAACCTCTCCGGGATTTGGTACTAGGTCTATATAGCACTCATCTCGTCATGTCCTGAACCTGTGACCACAGAGAGAGGAGGTTAAACTAAGCGAATTCCTAAGGGCCGGACTTCTGCTTCCTATGAACCTCCCCTGGGATCCCGCTTAAGCCCTCCGGTGACCTAGCTTTTCCTCTTCGGAAACACTTCCCCAATTTTCTAAGAACCATCTTTGTTTTCTGTTCATTGTTAATGGCCAGGAAGGATCAAGATGCTTTGCTTCTGCCATCTCGTGGAAGAACTGCTGAGGGCCTCCCTGTTTGTAATAGAGGCTTTCTCAAGGAAGGGGGGGAAATCACAGAGATTCATGTCGTCTGAGCTTAGGAAGCAATTTTACCTCTGCAGAGATACCTCTGCTGTTTTGTGTCCTTGGGCTGACTTTGCTTTTAATTATTTTCATTTCCATTCTTTCGTTGTTGTTTTTTTTTGTTTTTGGAACAGAATCTTCCGTAAAAGAGGAGCGAACCCATATCCCTCGGGGGAATCAAATGGAGGACTCTACCCAAGAGTTGAACCAGATCACAAATCCAAGACCAAATTAGCCTGATTTAAAGTGGTTTGTACAAGCCCCGGATCAAAGAGGAATAGTAAGATTCAGTTCTAGGTTAAAATTGTAGCATATTTACAGTTTGCAACTGGAGCAGAAATGGAATCGGATGGGGGCCACAGGTCACTGGATATTTTTTTAAATGCAGATTTTAAAGGCACATACCGCTGAAGCTAGCTGTCTAGAATTTAACACTTTTATGCCCCCCTTTTTAGGGTCTATCATATGTCAGGTTTTCATTTGCCCCAGGCAAAGATAAGTATCAGGAAACCCATTCAGAATAGCGCGGGAGAAAGAACCTTAAACTTGATTACAGAAGCCCCTAAGGCTGACTTCCACACATCCTTCCAGTGCAATTACAAAAAAAAAGGTTTATTATAGCCATTTTGATTTTCTAGTGCATGTCCGTGGAAGGCTTTCAAATTAACTCTGATCCAGCATACAAATCAAACCAGGGAAGCCACCGATATGCTCCGGCTTTATTATCATACATTCGAAAGCCCCGGATTGTTCCCTAGATGAGATCATTCTAATCATGTATCCATTCTAATTAAAAGCATCAATACATGTAATGTATTAGCCTGAACTAGCACAGAGAAAGGCAGAGAGGAATCGCCAACTGGCTTTTGGTCTCTTGTTCCTGCTTGTCTCCTCTAAGGGACCGTCGTACCTTCTGCTTCATTGTTAGTCTTTGGTAGAAGAATTTCCTCCCCATTTAGAGAGTGCGCGGAAGTCACCCGTAGGGGCTTCTGTAATAAAGTTTAGGCTTCTTTCTCTTCTGTTACAAATGGGTTGCCTGATGCAGCAAGCATCCTTTTTCTTTTTCCCTGGGGTAAATTGCTTCCTAATGAGTCGAAGTTATTGTCCCGCTTCCTTGTTCATTTATTACTATTTGTCAAATTGAACCTTTCTGCTCTTTTATTGCCACATGTGGTTACACCACTCCATGTTCCATTTTTCAAGAGCTGTGGCTTCGCAGTTGTTGTTATTCCTGTGCCCTTAAGTCGCCTCCGGATGTGTGACCTCCGAAATGTCCTATAACCAAGAACCCTACCCAGCTTTTGCGGAGTCTAAGGCTGTGTCTTTCTTTGTCAAGTTCATCTATCTCATTTTCCTTCTTCCCCCTTTTCCTGCTCCCTCAACCTTTCCTGGCATCATCATCTTTTCCAGCCACCAGTTTAGCTAAGGCTCGCAACAGGTTCTTCTGCAAACAGATCAGGCACAGTGGAGTCCAGCTTTGGACTCCCTTGGATATTCTCTCCCCGACATAAACAGCAGAAGAAAACAATCAAGATTCTGGAAGTGTCGTGTTTTCCCATGGCATGTGTGTGCCACTGCTTGAGCCAAACCTGACGCACAAAGGAAGGGCTAAAAATAGAACGGTATGCATGCTCACATAACAGAGTTTTCTTTTCTTTTCCTTTCCCCCCCTGTTCTGCCAATGTGTATGCGTGCAATCTGCATGCACAGAGAATCAAATGAAAGGGGCTGGCAGGTATAGCCGATTCTGCCTGTTTAGTCCTCTGCATAAGACAAAAGAGGGAAAGAATTGGGCGTGTGTAGCCTTGAGAAAAGAAGATGAAACGGAGAGAGGAGAGCCCTTTTCAAAGACTTGAAAGGTGGTCCTACAGAGGAGGGCCAGGATCTGTCCTCAATCCTCCCAGAGTGCAGGACACGCAATAATGGACTCCAGCGACAGGAAGCCAGATTCGGGCTGAATATCAGGAAAAACTACCTAACTGTTTGAGAAGTACAACAACAGAATCCATGACCTCGGGAGGTTTTGAGCGCTCCAGGCCTGGAGGCCTTCAAGAGAGAACGGGACCATCCTCTGTCTGATCTGCTTTGATTTGGGTTCCTGCCATAAGCGGGAATTTAGACTCAAAGGCCTTAAAGGCCCCTTCCAACTCCATGATTCTATCATTAGACTTCTGCTTTATCTTAAAGAGAGAGAAAAATTGAGGAATGACACGTTCAGACTAATGAATGGGGAACTCTTAGGATCTATGGAGAAATGTGTTTGAGGAAACCGAGCAGCAGGAGCTGGTGTAAAATAAATGCCAAAACATACATGGGGATTCCTCTGTTTGGCCAAACAAAAAGACACCGGAGCTGTATAAAAGCTTTCTACATCCCCCCTTCTTTTTTTTGAATGGCCTAATAGTGGTATATTTGTGTGAGCAAACAGTCACCAGCCCTGCTGTGGGGAGGTGAATATCCGATCGGTAACATCACAGGCCCTGGCCAATAGGTGCCTGCGGCAATCGCCCAGCCCCCTTGCACAGATTCAGGTTCTCCGCAACGGTGGTGCTTTTTATGTACAATAGAAGCTGTCCCCTGAGATGGATTGACTTTCGTTGGCAGGATTTGAGCAGGGACAGTAATCGTGGGACTGTATTTATTTCTTTTGAGGTTGTTCACTGATAGAGGGTTGATGTAACTCAGAAATGACAGGACGGCACGCAATAATAACGATCGAATGCGACCGAACTCTGCTTGAGTTCCACAGAGAGACATTTCCACCTCTGTCCACCAGATGGAACTGGGCGAAAGAGGAATGGTGAGCCGTTTCATCGGGAAAAGAAGGAAGGAGGAGAGTTTGGGGGAGCTCTCTAGAGCCTGAGACCGTTTGAAGACATTTCAGAAGAGCCTCCGAGCCGAGCATGGCTGGTCTCTTTGGGTCCTTGGTGTGGGTCTTCCTGGAGGTGCTACGCCTGGCCATGGGAGCCATGGACTCCTGCTACAACGCGCAAGGGCGGGCTCAGCGCTGCCTGCCGATCTTCGAGAACGCGGCTTTTGGGAGGCAGGCGCAAGCGTCGAACACGTGCGGCTCTCCGCCGGAGGACTACTGCCTCCAGATGGGCACCAGGGACTCCGGGGCGCTGTGCCACCGCTGCGACGCCCGCCAGGCCTCGCTTCACCACAACGCCACCTATCTGACTGACTTCCATCACCAAGAGGAGCCCACCTGGTGGCAAAGCCAGTCCATGGCTTTTGGGGTTCAGTACCCCCATTCGGTCAACATCACCCTTCACCTGGGTAAGTCTATGATCAACTGGGCTTGATCGCTTCAAAGGTGGTGTTGGAAGGACGTTTGAGATGGTTTTTTTGTTAGCTTGGTTTTGAGGATTCAATGAGTAAGAAGTCCATGGATAATCTTCAGGGCTGAGTTCATTCTGGGACATAGATTGTTGTATTGTCTTTTGTGTGTCATCCGGTCACGTCCGGCCTATGGGGGTCCTAAGAGGGTCTTCAAGGTATGTGAGAGGTTTTTATCTTCGCCAGCCCCAAGGAATGTCAGGGACCAAGCAGGAATTCGAACCCACCTCTCCCGAGTCCTGGTCTGATGCGTACCAAAGAATGGGAGCAACTGTCTTTTGAGGAGTTGCTATAACATTTGCGATGGTTTCGCTTTGTTTAAAGAGAGAGAGAAATAATGCTATAATGGAATTCACTGCCATAAGATGTACCCATGGTGGTCAACCTCAACTTGAGATGAAACTTTCTCAAAAACTGGGAGCTTGGAGTATATAAGACAGGAGTGGGCAGGGCGGCTTATGTGGCTTCCGGAGTCTCCTCAACCACTCCTTCCTTCCTTTCAAACTTAATGAGCATTTTCTAATAATTGAAAAATTTGCAGATAGATAGATAGATAAAACTTTATTACAGTCAAAGACCAGCCACGTAGAAATTATCTATCAGCCTATCCTGAATGCCTTGTGAAAATACTTTGTTTAAATTGTGTTTTGCTTACTTTATCTTATATATAAAAAACCTTCCTTGATTTCTAGTCCATTCTGAATGATTTTGTTCTTTTATACCTGAAGCTCCGTGGGATTAAACTATTGATCTCTGATGGGTGCCAAATAAATAACCAGCTGCTATCGTGCTAACCATAGAGGGTAATTAGTTACAAGAATTAGTTAATCTCAAAGCTTCAGTACTGACTTTGTTGACTAAAACTTCTAAAATCCCCAAACTAGTATGGCCATGCGCTGTAAGTTGTAATATATGTAATTCAGATTTCCAATATTTATTTCCAATTCTTTTTATTATTTAATGTCAATAGTTCCTTTTTTGATCATTCTTCTCCCCCCTCCCAAGAATTATGGCATACAACAGCTCCAGTGTAGTTGTTCCGTTAAAAGAAATAACTTTGCCCCTTCTGTTGTGAGTAACTGTGTTTTAGTAACTTTTAGAATTACAAGAGTGGGTGGCCGCACTACTTCAGTGTATTTTCTACCATAGGCCAGCCACTTTTGGAATTCTACTTCTCGAATCCAACAAAAACAGTAACTCTTTGCTCCTTTTGAATGATGAGGATGGAGAGCTCCCTTTTGCGTCCTTTCCAGCAGGAACGAGCCGAGAAGCAATGAGGTTGAAGGCCAGGAGGTCCAAGCGATGGCGGCCGAGTCCCAAGGGACGGTGGGTGGGTGGGTGGCTGGCTGGTGGAGCGATGGAGGGCCCTTCAGGCTCAGAGAAACTGGAACAGCCAGCCTCTGGAAGAGGTCACTCTGTTCCCAGCCCCCTGTGGGTAGGCAAACATCTGTTCCAAATCCACACGGGAAATTCAGAGGGGGCTTCCTGTTTGGAATGAAAGCAAGCAGAGCTGAAATTTGCCTCCTTCCAGACACCGACACCTCTGCTCAGCCAGACTTTCCCCCATCTCCTGTCGGCACGGACGCTTTGCCTCCAGGCGAGGACCGGGTGTCTCTTCGGGACAGCCTGACTCTTTGGGAGCTCTTTGCCGTTGTTTTGAGGAACTGCTGTGTTTTTTTCCAGAAGCTTCTGAGACAGTCCGGGAGCGAGTGGAGCTTTGTTTTCATTTGTTTCTGGTGGGACGATGCTCTCGGGCAGATTGGTTGGTTGGTTGGTTGGTTGGTTGGTTGGTTGGTTGGTTGGTTGGTTGGTTGGTTGGTTGGTTGGTTGGTTGGTTGGTTGGTTGGTTGGTTGGTTGGTTGGTTGGTTGGTTGGTTGGTTGGTTGGTTGGTTGGTTGGTTGGTTGGTTGGTTGGTTGGTTGGTTGGTTGGTTGGTTGGTTGGTTGGTTGGTTGGTTGGTTGGTTGGTTGGTTGGTTGGTTGGTTGGTTGGTTGGTTGGTTGAACCTTGACTCCCATGCTAGCAACTGGGTAGCGTGCGCACACACACACACACACACACTTGAAGGCAGAAGCTTATCTTTGGGGGTGTCCTCCAGGAGACAACAGGCGTGGGGGATTGGGACCTTAGAGAATTAAAACAGATGGGGCTGCCTTGACCTTTAGGCAGCTTGTCCCTGCTGTCTAACAGTAAGGCCGGGTCTGTTCTCTGCATTCCACACTGGCGTTGTTTTGATGAGTTTAATTAGGCTCGTAAATAAGCCCCAAATGTCCTTGACGCATTCTTACTGGCCTATTTGGCTCCCTCATTCTGTGTGAAGCCTTTGTGCCGAGACAGTGGGAGAGAGAGAGGAAACCCATAAAAGGGAGTTAGCCTTTGTAGAGGCTTACAAAATTCCCCGGGGGGGCGTGGTTCCCAATCTTGGGTCTCCAAATGTTCTCCCAGAAGCCTTTCCCACTTGCTCTGCTGGCCAGGATTTCTGGGAGTTCTGGTCCAAGGACATCTGAGGCCCATGGATTGGGAATCCATGGCAAGAGGGGACCATGGGTTAGATTGACAGTGGCTTAACAGAACCAGGCACATTTCTTCTCTTTCCTCTCTTGCGCACAAACCTCTGGCAGAAATCAGCGCCTGCTTTTGCAGTAGCGATGGGGGTAATCCCCCAACACCCCCAACAGAGTTGTTGTGGCCTTCTTCCAATGGAGCCGCCTCCGCGGCAGACATTCGCCATCTGGGGGCAATTAAGGCTGGGTCGCTTGTTTTCTCCCTGCCCTCCCCGTCTCGCTCCTCTGCCAGAACAATCCCATTTCCCCAACATTTTGGATTCATTACGCGCGTGGATTCTGGAACGAGGTTCACAAACCGAATGGCTGTCTTCATCACAAATAATGTTGAAATTTAAGGAAGAGCTTTTCCTGTTGCCTTTTTTCCCTTTGAGCCTGACGACTGAGTTTTATATGGATGTGTATATTCTTGAGTTGGTTACTTCAATCCAGCATTGGCATTCTTCTATATATTTAATCTACTCCAGAGACCAATACAGTGTGTATTCTGCTCAGTGTGCTGCTGAAACCCAGAGATGGGGGTCCCCTTCCTTCCAACCTCACATGACCTGCAGTGTGTACAATGACCTAAATTTGAGGGATGGGTCCTGCCCGCCCATGGGTGGCACACGCAGAACCATCGTGTTCTGGCAAGGGGGCGTCACTGATCCCTGCTCTGAATTTCCCTTTTCAAAGAACCATCGCTCCAAGGATCTGAATCATTCAGGTAGACAGTTCTTGCAACTGTCATTTCAGTTTCCTGCAACGTATAAGGCCAACTCTACCGTTGGGTAGACTGGAGAATTGCCCGGTGCCAGCAGAGATCTCGTGGAATTTCTATGCTTCCCTGCCCCAAAGGTGTCTGATGTAGTTTAGTGTTTCAAACACATAAATAAATCCAGAACTCTTGAACCATTCCTTATTTATTTTTGCACGATACCTCCTGGAATCTCTGACCAGCTGGCTGGATGATCCCAGGATTTGTAGTCTGAGTTTCCGAGCCTTGAATTCAATCTAGACCAAGAAGTATTTTATTTTTAATGAAGGGAAGTAATCGTATTTCTAACAAACAAAAACACAGGTTTTTAAAAATGGCTTTTAATTCCACTCCGTTTTAACTTAATTCTGGGAATCAATTTAGTGTGTGCTGATACTATACCAGGGTTGGACAGCTAAATATCTTAGGTCTCTGGCTGAGAGTTCGATTCTCCACTCTGCCAGCTGGTGTTAACTCTGGGCAAACTGTACAGTCCCAGGTTTCCCCCAGAACTTATTTATTTGTTTGTTTGTTTGTTTGTTTGTTTGTTTATTCATTCATTCATTCATTCATACATTCACTCATTCATTCGATTTATGCCCCGCCCCCCTAGACAGCGTCTACAGAAGAAGGGAATGGTGAATTATTGCTATACCATAAGTCACAATGGACTTGATGACACATTATTATTATTATATTTATATTATAACATCATTTTAATGTGTCTGATTTTTAATCTTTAAGACACCCCCCCCCCAGAAGGAGTAATGAGTGCTCTGCAGGAACTCTTTAAAATATATCAGATACTTTCTTTTAGCAAATAGGGACGTGGTGGCGCTGTGGGCTAAACCGCAGAAGCCTGTGCTGCAGGGTCAGAAGACCAGAAGTCGTAAGATCGAATCCACGCAACGGAGTGAGCGCCCGTCGCTTGTCCCAGCTCCCGCCAACCTAGCGGTTCGAAAGCATGCAAATGCAAGTAGATAAATAGGGACCACCTCGGTGGGAAGGTAACAGCGTTCCGTGTCTAAGTCACACTGGCCATGTGACCACGGAAGGTTGTCTTCGGACAAAACGCTGGCTCTATGGCTTGGAAACGGGGATGCGCACCGCCCCCTAGAGTCGAACGCAACTGGACAAAAATTGTCAGGGGAACCTTTACCTTTACTTCTTTTAGCAAAGGATGATTTCCAAGAAAAAAACTAGAGATAGGGTATGTCATCTATAGGCCGTCCGGGAACCCCATAGGCTGACTGCATTAGGTGTAGGATTCTGGGAACTGGAATACAGATAAAGGAGCTCTCCCACATCTGGGGAAAAGCATCACAGAACATGGTTTACGGAGCTTCTTGGAAAGCCAGCTGGTGGTGGTGGCAACGGAGTCCTCTGAGGATATAAAGCTTGGGAAACCACAGATTTATACCACGGCAGGATGATCTCTCCCGCTTGAATCCATCTTGGCTCCTTCTTATTATCTCGCTGGCCAAGAGCAGCACCGGAGAGTCACGACAGCAGCCGATGCTTTTCTTGGACGGAGCTGCTTTGTTTGTTGATCCAAGGAAGAAAACGTTTGAGGGGAAATAAATATTCCAGTTTAGATGGAAAAGATAGAGAGGGAGAGAAGCCGGTTGATCTGGGTTTTCATTTCGTTTTGTTTTAATTTCTAGGAGGTTTGAATGGGGCTCATGGAGAGAATATCCAGGAAAGAATTAGAGGGATGTGTTATCTAGAGTTTTGGTTAAAATCCCTTTGCTGCGTAACAGAAGTACAGTTTTGGAAGAGATAGCCATGTTAGCCTGCTGATGTACTTTAGGCATGGGAAGACAGGATTTTGTGGGAAAGGCCATCATGCTCGGGTGTACTTTAGGCATGGGAAGACAGGATTTTCTGGGAAAGGCCATCATGCTCGGAAAGGTGGGAGGCAGCAGGAAAGGAGGAAGCCCACATATGAGATGGGCTTATTCGTTAAAGGAAGCCACAGGCTTGAATTTGCAAGAGCTGAGCAGGGTTGTTGGGGACGGGACAGTTTGGAAGGTATCCATTCATATCGGTGGTGACTTGAGAGCCTATTACAACTCATTTCCATCTGCTTCATGCATTAACGAGCATGTTCTCAACACACGTGTTGAACGCATAATACTTGTTAATATAGGAAATCTGCATTGTTTGTCTCACTCTCTCCCATGCATGCATGTTGTAATTGTTATGTCACCGCAGTCTTCATAGTTGTGCCCTAAATCTCAGGGCATCAGAAGCTGCTCTTCAGAGCTTTTTCCTTCCTTCCTTTCTTTTTTTTAAAGGGAAGTCCTATGAGATCACCTACGTGAGGTTGAAATTTCACACCAGCCGCCCGGAAAGCTTTGCCATCTACAAACGGAGCCGGGAGGACGGTCCGTGGATCCCGTATCAGTACTACAGCGCCTCCTGTGGGAAGACCTATGGGAAGCCGGATCGCCAGTACCTGCGACCCGGCGAGGATGAGAGAGTGGCGTTCTGCACCGATGAGTTCAGTGACATCTCCCCCCTGAACGGAGGCAACGTGGCTTTTTCCACCCTCGAAGCACGCCCTAGTGCCTACAGCTTTGACCAGAGTCCCATTCTTCAGGTAAAAAAGTCTGCGCAGGAGCTCCTTGAATGGACAAGTGTTGACGAGCTAGAATAGCGCTGTGTCACTCTATCGACCAAGGCAGGCCCTTCGTTGCCCAAGGCATCGGTTCTCTTGTAATTCAGGGATGTGGGCAAGTCTTTGGGTCCAAGCCTGACTCCTTGGAGGGCTAGATGGGTTCCGAGTCATGTCTTGAGTTCGAGCCATGGGGGGAGGGGAACCCTACGTTGGGTCCAAGTCAAATCACTGGCGCCACTTGAGTCAGATTTGGCTTCGAGTCCTGCAGCTTGAGTCCCTGTTGCTGCTTAAATTGTTGGCTCCTCAGCGTTTTTATCAGTCTCAGAGCTTCAGAAGAACCGTCAGGACCTCCTCCCCCATGGGGGGGGCTTCCCTAGGCCTGGCGTGTCGCCCACACACTGATCTTGTGCCTCCACAGGAGTGGGTGACCGGCATGGATCTGCTGATCTCTTTGGACAGGCTCAACACCTTTGGGGACGACATCTTCAAGGATCCCAAAGTGCTGCAGTCTTACTATTACGCCATCTCAGACTTCTCTGTAGGGGGCAGGTGAGACTGACAGAGGAGAGGAGGGAAGGGCGAGGATGATGAAATATTCTTTGGGAGGTGGTTCGGGTTGAGTTTTCAGCTCCCATCAAGGCTGGCATAGGGGCTGAGGCGTTCAGGACCTTTCACCACGATTTACGGCAGGCGGTGGCGTGACCA